TTCAAAAGACTCTTTAAAAGTGAATTGCTTTCTATTTTGAAGAGACAACTTTTAAAATTGTGCTTAGTCCCTGTTTGGACGGAGTCGGTGAAAATAAAAGATAGAGAAAAATGTAAACACCTGTTGTGGTGAGTAAAATTAAGTGTTAAAGTAAAGACGTTGTTGAAGTATTTAAAAAATTTAATTCTCTAAATTTATAGATAATATCTAAATTGTAAAATATACTATTTAAAAATAGAGACTTTATTTTAGATCATGATGATTTTGGATTTCTACCAAAACTATTCGCAGATCCAAGTCTTATTGGCTCATTTCCTATTGCTTTGTAGACAATCTTATGCCGTAACTACGTTTGGCATTATTTATTGTTTCAGATAGCCAAAATTTTGTTTTAGTTAATGCAATATATAAGATTGTCAGTTCTGTAATTTTGCTTAAAGTTTCTCAAAAGTATCTCCATTTTGTGTATGTTTGGCTTTGCTTAAAAAAGTAAGCTTTAAGATGTTGAATAAGTAACTTATTTGTTAATATATTTATTAAATACTAATTTCTAAAGATGTATGAATTATTTAGTTTTTTCTTCCTTTCAGTAAAGAAAACTTATTTATTATTGAATAGTGACCAATTATAAAAAAAAGAGTCTATTTCGTAAAAGTAAAGATGTTAGAATAACGTTACTTTTTTCTTCATTTTAAGTTTTAAAAAAAAGTTATTTACTTTACATAAATAAATAACTTAATCAGCTACTTATAAGCAGTGTCATAAGTGAAATAAATTTAAAAAATATACATTTCTCTAGAGCTTTTGACTACATTTTTTATTAACGAGACCAAGTCGGATATATCAGCAGAGGAACGCTTAGTCTGAAACATCACTTTTCCATATAGTTGTTGAGTCTCAAAAATCATCTTTTTCCATTGAACTTTATAGAACAAGGACTCCTCAAGTGTGTGTGGGTGTGGCAATCCTGTCCGTATATGAATTGCGCTTAGCCTTAGCCCAAGCGAAAGGACGGAAAAGACGGTGATCAGAATAAGAATGGGGAAAGCTGATCCGACTACTAGACTTGCATGTGATAAGTCGATTAGTAAGCTAGAAGTGAGTAGCATTATTATTTCTTCGAGCAAGATAATTAACACTGATGATAGACTTTAACATAATACTAGTAGGGATCGATGGATTGGATGCCACGAGAAGGAGGAGGTATTTCAATAGCCAACTGTTGCGTGTTTTATATCGCAAGTGTACGATATCGTAACAAGTAATATAGTGGACCTTTGAGTCCAGATTATCGTTCCCACGAGGACTATACTTTAGGTCTTAATTAGATTTTTCTAACTCTTATTTGACAAAAACAAGTAAATAATTATGA